AAGCGGTCACACGCAGACTTGGTCCTGTCCACATTTACTTCTAGGTAAACTTTATTATTAACATGTGACACAGCTTCTGTTTTTATCTTTATAATATTTATGTGTAAATTATAGTTTTTATATTCCTCCGGTTACAGATGTGGAATATCCAGTGGAATATAAATCGTATGATAAACTGAGTGTAGACTCTGGAAGTAGACCATTCGGTGTAGACACCCAGCCTTCAAAGTCTGTGAGCTATGGGAATATCCCACACTATTCCAGAACTGCCAGCACAGTAAGTTTGTTAGAGTACTTGATTTTTCAGGGTCTTTAAAGTTAATTTTAAGTTGAAATTCGAGTACAGTGGAAGTGACTACAATTACTAAATGTCTGTAACAACATATATATAAATATCATTATAATATACATCATTCCATCAACTGTGTTTAAGGTTTATCTAAAAACAATTATAGTCAATTCTCGGTTTACGAACATTCGCTATAACGAACGTCACAATTTATTCAAAATTTCTTAAAGTCGCTAATAGATAGAGATCCTTATAAAAAAATTCCAAACGTATAGTAAACATAATTGTAAGATTTAAATAAATAAACATTAAAAAATGTTCTTATAGCAATACTTATCAGAAAATTATTATATGATAATTTTACTGAACTCTTCTTCGTTAATAAAACTAATCTATCCAGTAAAAGACGTTGGTTTACGTGCCACGCCGCGTAGAATGTTTTCTCGTGGGATAGAAATCGGTGATTCCCCTTATTATAATGTAATAGGATCATCACTTACTTGCGATGTTTAGTACATGGTTTTAATGCTTTAAAATGGCTGCCAACGTATACGATACGTATCCTAAAAGCTCAGTAATGCAAGATACACATAACGAACAACGTCTTGTGACAGAACTGGTTCGTAAATCGAGAGTTGCCTGTATACGTATACTTTTTGCAGTAACTTGTACAAGATTTTAAATACCTCGTAGATAACTGGTATTATCCTTTCATCCCTCTTAAGAGACTCTGAAGTTAATACGTGGTTTGGAGGTAATTCTTTTAAAAGTAGTTCTGTCTCTCAGAATTTAAGGAAATGCAAATTGAAATTTTTCTTGTGTGTGTATACGTAGGAGACAGTGAGGTTTGAAACACAGCCTGTGAGATGGCAGCATGTGCCAGTGAGCCACCAGACTGTAACAACAGCCACTCAGACGCAAAATGCCGAGACGCAGACGCCACTGATGGTTCGTCACAAAGAGAGTGCTGTGTAGCATAACACGCACTGACCGGGAGAGGGGTCCTCTTTGAGAGAGAGGTGTGCAAAATCGCTGGGTATGACATATTACCAAGATCTACAGCAAAGTATAAAGTTGACTTCAAAAACAATTGAATACCACTGCGTACTTAGATTCCTAATTGATCGATCAACCTAAGTAACCATCCAGTTCTATACGAGCGTTGTTATTCGTTAAACAATTAATTGCTTTACATAGGCGACAAGTAAACCAAAGACTGTATGTAACTGACCAATTAACTAACAAACCAAATGTAGAAGCCCTGGGTTCGGTCTTAATTGCTATAGATAGGCTTAAAATACGATATGACAGTTAGTCACCTGAAGATGGGAGTAGAGTCAGATGCTAAAATGATATATGAAATATACATCAGTCAGTGGAAAATATTGATCATTGTTTTAACGCAGGCAAGCTACCAAAGTTTAATACTGCATTGAAATCTGCTTTAAATTAATAATTTCGAAGTCCTTACGAGCATGAAAGAAATGTTGCTACCAGATGACTCTGGCAGTCGAATCGGGATCGAATAGAAATTGTGCCGAGGCAGCAGGCTTGCCACCTACTTTTCTAAAGCACTAAAAGAGGCTAATATGATAAGTTGACTTAATAAACTGTCTGGAACGGGCCAAGGCCTAATCCTTGAAAGTTAGAATAAGAATTATAATTTTAAAGTGGAAGGAGCGAAACAAATTTGTTATTTTTTTTTCAGACTCTACAGAGTTTAAATCATTTATTCTTACGCTTTTGGAATATCAGCATCAAGCCACAGGTTTAGACATGAGTGAAGCAGAAGGTAAGTTTATTGTTTAACGATATATTTTCGATAGGCTTAATGTTAGCTACAGGAATTAATTTCTATAATAAATGTTTTCGCATGTAAACTTTCGTGGTCATTTGATAATAAAATAAAATTTCAATAATGTGAATAAGGTATATAAAGCTCATGTTACGACAATGAACATACTGTATGAGCTGGTACTTATGCACGTGTTTACGCAAGGCTTCATGTGTTATGTATTTAAGCGACTGATGCCACTTACATTAGATTGTTCACATCATCTCCATGAATATTATAAACTATATTTAACTAATTTGTATCCATGTATGCGTCATGTTAATTTTAAATGTTTTCAGCAGCAATATGTTATGTTATATTTACAGATTTACTTAAAATTTCACTGGGAAATTTTGTCTTTGTTTTTCATTTATGAAGTTGTGAGAAATCTACGTAAGGTTTAACCTCCATCGAGATTTACGATGTGGTCAATGTTATTTCATTGGCATAAAATTTCTTACGCTGTGTAACATGACGATGAATTATAAACAAATTTTCTACAGACTTTCCTAAAAAGTTAAGTAATGCTTGTAAGTTCTTCTGGAATATAAATTATTCCGTTGCTATTTAACTTCAAACCTCTAAGCTATTCTGTCTTGAACATATCACCGGTTCAAAACTTCGATACCTGATGGTCACACATTCTTTTGCTGTCTCGCGGTCTGTGAAATTATAGATGAGGACAGTGTATTGAAACTTTATGGAAGAAATTGTGTGGTGGTTTTGTGACGCTGTAAGTTTCATTCATACGCTATGAAGCACGTGCAGACCAATTTCACGTCGTCAGATACCCTAGAATGGCGTTACCGTGTGAACGGTCGTCGGAGCATACGAGTACCAGCAGTGCAGTTAGACACGAGCATCGTAAAAATTACGAATTTTCTGTGTTTTACCGAACATCGTGGCAGAGTAGTTATTAATCCTGTTTCATATTTATAGGTCCCTGATTCAAATCTCGTTGGTTGTTCTCCAGACTACATTTTTCATGATTTTCCATCCAGTTAAATGCAACGATACTTATTTATATTAACGTTACGTGAGTAGTCTGAGCTATTGATACTAGTTAAATGAACCATAAATAAATAAGTAAATGAAATATAGTGTACTGTTCTGTAAGTTACACAAAATTGGTTTTAAAAATACTTTCCCCCTCTTGTATTTCTACGTACAAGAAACAGAAGACGTGTTCCGTCAGGAATTTCCCCAGGTTGTTCGTTAGTTTGCTGGAAGGTGGTGAATTGTCATTAAAAGATTGAATGACGGTACTGCTTTATTACGAAACTGATGCTTTAAAAATGTCGGAACATAAAATTCAAACGTAATTTCTGTATTTCGTTCGCTGAATTAGGGAAACACCGTATATTATTTGGCTTAGATACTCAGCTAATTTCGCATTGCCTTATGCCTCCATTAATGAAATATTTATTTCATTCGTTTCCAACAAAACTTACGTGAATCACAAGTGGCTATTTTTTAGTAACCTGGATGAACATGGTAATGGAAAACCGCGTATACCCTAGATAAAAAAGGGAACTTTCGTTGCTCAGAACCGAATTTTATCAGTTTGCCCTCCGCTGTCACCGCGTTTCTTATCTGTGTGGGGTCGACATGAGCTTTCTGCCGGCGCCTTCTGAATACTCTTTTATTTACGAAGGAAAGAAAGGTTACAAAATGGAAAATTGTACACGTGGCTTATAAATAAAGTACATTTCCCTGGGCCTGCGTATTAAGTAAGTTAAACAAAATTCCTGACAAGGGAAAGAAGAAACATTTATTAAAGAAAGGGAGAAAGACTAGCAGGAAGATGAGAAAATGAGAGAAGTGGGAATTGAATAAATAAGAAAGGAAGGGTATGTAACTGGTAGGAGTCTATATAAATTAAAATATTTTGCGATTATTAGTTGAATCTGCCGCATACCAAAAAGAATACGAAGTGGTTGTCAACGTAAGCTGTTTATGTAAGATTTGAGGTTTTCACAGCGGTGAGTATGAAGACTTCTGTCTTCTGGGTTGTTGTGTCGTGTAGT